AGCCCATGATGCAAAGACAGTGTTAAATTGAGCGAAATGAGGAATGGCTAAAATGCATGATCTGTTTGGTATTTTGAAAAATGAAAAGTATAAATATGCCTTATATAGGTATGGTCCTACACTATATTATTCAAATATAGCATGATAGTTCTACTTTAAGATTGGTTGTAAACCAAACCAGATCAGATCGTTTTGTGTATTATATGTCGTTTTCAATAAATAAATAAAAATATCTAGTTTTTATCTAATAATACTAATTACTCAATCTCATTTTACATTCACAACGTCGGAAAAAAAGGCAATGTTCATTCAAATAGACTACTTTAAAAAATGGAAAAAAGAGCAAAAAATATTTAAATTCTGTTAACGTTTTTCTTACTTTTAATGTAATTGCTCAATTTAAATGAGCGTTTACATTAGCAGCAATATCAGAGTATCCATTGATTTCATGTCCTTTATAGAAACATGACATTTTAGTTTATGTCAGAGATCATGGTATGTGTACGTTTTCCTGTTTATACACATCAAGACATCATCATTTATTGTTGTTTGCTATTGAACATCAAGACAAAGTACAGCTGGGTCTGATGTAAATGTCATTAATTAATCGGTCAAGAAGTAACAAGGTTTATTAAAAGAGATTACATTCGAACAAATAGTATAATATTTACATTTTAATAAAATTATAAAGATAATTTGTACAAGATAAAGAAATATGTACCATTTGCAACTCATTCATATTCCTCTTGGACACACAGCTACAGCTCGTACACTGATGATCTACCCTCCACCCGCACCTCCTCCTACACCATCAGCAGCACACCCAGGTAATCATTCAACTATTATCGACATCTCTCACACCCACACACACAACCATTGCAGGGTTTGCCTATGCTATACAACCAGATGAAATGTGGCTGCAGTCTTTATGACATCCCTTATCTGTTCTGTGTTTGCACACACAGTGACGACTACAGCAGCGACAAATCCTTCTCTTACTCCAAACCAAACTCCAGGTAGGAAGAAGAGAAAACTATCTCTGCATGTACAGTGAGTTAGAAATATTACTTATCTATGGTTCATTTTGTTTGCCTACAGTTATGAGTACACCAGTACCTCCAGTCCAACCTCCTACTCCTCCAAAACATACAGGAGCAGCAGGTATTTCATGAAATGAAACATGTTTAATATTGTTGTACAAACATGATATGGGAGTAAAGCAAGACAGTTGTGGAAACTGATATTGTTGTTACTATGCTCTCGCAGCAGGTCAGATGACATGACAGATTCAGTCTACTCATCCTCCTCAAAGAGTGTGTATGCAGCTCCTGAGAGGTAGGAAGTGCATTCTTTGTAGACCTTGGAAACAGCAGGTCCACAACAAAATAGTGGACAAATGTACTAATTGCCCTGCAAGGCTGTATGTAGGCACAGTGGTGCTATGAGCAAAATGTCACAATGCTAACGTGCTCACAATGATAATGATAATAATAAAAATACATGGGATTTTTATAGCACTTTTCCTAATGCTCAAATACGCTTAATGCTAACATGGTGATGGGTGGAATGTATTATGTAAGGCATAGTCTTAAAGGGTCCCTATTATGCTAATTTTTGTGCAAAGATATAAATCTGCTGGTGGCACTAGAGGAAAAAACATATTTAAGACCATATATATAGGTCAAAGACAGAGACAGTATATCCAAGGTCAACAACTTTATTTAAATATATGATGATTTTTTCAATAGAACGGTGCTTGAGAAAGACCTGTGCAGCTACTGCCGTAAGCCCTTCACTGGTGACGCCAAGATGGTCCTGGATGACATGAAGATCAACTGCCACACCACCTGCTTTAAAGTGAGTAGAATAACATTCCATTAAAATGAGAAAAATCAGTGTTTGAAGAAGTATTTAGATGCTGTATGAGTTGCAATACTGTAAAATATACATTCCTACTTCTTCTGTGAAGTAGAGTTTGTGGTAATTACCTGCATTGTTCCTCCCAACTGCCAAGCAGCCTAATCAGCCTGAGTAATTGAAAACACCTGTAGGGGTTTAATTTGCAACATAAAAAGCATCTGCAGCTGGTAATGTTTCGGAGTATGAGCCACAGTATTCTCCTTCTGAGGTTTAGAGGATTTTAAATCTGCTTCAAATGGGAATACTTAGGTAAAGTACAACAACATGATACTTTAGTACAATGCATGAGTAAGTGTTCTTCTCGGCTAACAGGTATTGTGCAGCTGACTGCTTAGCGTGTGTGTATTTAATCATGAGTGTGTGCGTGTTTTGGCAGTGCGAGGTGTGTAACAGCAATATGGGCTATATGAAAGCTGGGGACAGCATGTGGATCTACAAACACATGGTGCACTGTGAAAACTGCTTCGATGTCACCAGAGGTAAAAAATAAATGCATAAATATTAGTGTGAATTAATGGACATAAAAACATGTGTTTTGTTTTTCTCAATTTAACCTTGAATTAAACGTTATTTAATTTTTTTGGCTCTACAGAAAAATGGCGTCGCTGAATTTCCCCCTAAGCCTTCCCTGGAGATGAAGCATCTATGATTTAAAGATAAAAACATATTGCTGTTAATCAATACCTTTTTGGTGATGTGGGATCTTGTGTTTTTAGTTTTTACAAGCTGATAAAAGCTTTATCTTGGTGTTTTGACAAATGACAGTTACATATTGAATATACCTTTTTTAGTAACATGCTCTTGCACCTAGCTGTTACTATATTGTTGACATTGTGATATTGCTGCCTCTGTATCTACTATTTTCAGATATTTAAATTCTCTGCAGTCTGCAGCCTTTAAGCAGACCCTTGTGTGAAACATGAAATGAGATAATGCAATATTTAGGGCCGGGGGCTTTTTCTGTGTGCAATAAAGACGATCAATATATAGCTTTGTCTAGTAATGTCTCAACGACTTTGTTGTTTAACTGCCCTGTTTGTTGTTCATATCAATATTTACTCTTTTATTCTTTATATGCCTTTTGAAGAATGGCAATCTGAGGTGTTTATTTACTTATAATGAAGTTTATCATAAAGTGTACTGAAATGGAAGTATTGAGCTATTTCAATTAATAATAGTTCAATTAGAATTCTAAAGGAATGATTGAATTAGTAATTGCTTTATACGAATAAAGTACAATGTATAATTCATTTTTAATTGATTGACGTTCCCCTAATAGAAATACATAAAATGTATACTCTTTCTTGAATGTATTTTATATGAAGGCTATCATATCTTAATGCACATTTAACAGCTAAAGACAGAACTATTTCTACTGGATTTTATTATTTTTTTATATTTGATTTACTCCATACCAGAGATTAAACAAACATGGAAGCAATTGACATACATTATCAATAACCTTGCTATATTCACCATGACCTTACGTACAGTAGCCTGTCCCCAGCAGTCCTCTGTCAGTTTCTTCTCTTTTGTTCTTTCCTTAATTACATGATAACCTTGTCACAGATTTGCTGAAATTATTCCTTTGTATTCATGAAGAAGTTTTGTCATACCACTTAATAACACATGGTTGAACCTTTTCAATACAGATAAGCCCTCATTTGACCTTAAACTATACTCAGGTCATGTCCAAAATCGAACTATGTGAAAGAATATTAAGTTGGTTTCAAGGAAATGGTGGTAATGTGTATTATATCAGATGCAAATAGGCTTTTTCTTCAAATACACTGAAGCCTTTTTTAGTCATTTTTATTTTTTAGGAACTGGTAACAAATTGGACAAAAAAGTGATTTAATAATAAAACGATCACTATGTGTTAGTATTTGTAGTGGTAGTAGAAGTAGTAGTATATTCAGTATTACATATCTAAAATGGCACTGCACATATCTCTTTAACCAATCACAAACTCAAGTATCTAACTATTTATATATTTTTGTCCATAATAAATATTTCCTCAGCAGTGGTGTGATGGGAGTGAAACTCCGAGCTGCTGACCAATCAGAGGGAGTATGTGCATCATCCCAGCAGCAGCATCAGTGTGTGTGAGAGTGTGTTAGTGTGTGTGTGTGTGCAGTAGTAGCTTTAAACAGGGGGGATCTGGACACCCTCTCTGAATTGAATAGGACCCTCTGCAGGCAGGCCGTGCTTTTTCTGTCCCTCTCAATGTGCTTTTTACCAGATGGAAGCAGAGGTCTTAAACCCCCAGATGATGGCAGACGTCAATGGCAACAATAAAATCAGTAACGCGGAGCTGGAGGTGGTAAAGCTGCAGGAATTAGTCCGAAAATTGGAGAAGCAAAACGAACAATTGCGGACACGAGCGAACGCTGTAAACAATTGCTCCATCGGCCCTCATCTCCAGACCTCGTTGTCGTGTCTGCATGGGGGTACAGCGTGTTCAAGTGACAATTTCTCCTGTAAATATGGCATCCCGAGTCCGACACAGTCTCATCCGTGTGCCCTCGGAGCCCTCGGTTCACCGGAGGAGCCGATCGCGTATTTTCAGCCGAGCTCTGTGTCTCCTGACGCCGCTGAGGAGGACAGCGTCACTCCTGGAGCCACCGTTTTGGATGAGGTTGATATTTTGGATCTCAACACCGTGCTCCCTATTGGAGAGCCTGAAAGCTGGTAAATATAATCTGTTCATATCTACCACTATATTGTACATTTATATCTGCATTTGCGGTGAAAAAAAAATCAGTGTTGTGTTTCTTTTTGCTCTGCTTAATAGGCCACAGGATTGTCAACTAGCCACAATTTTGTGAAATAATGTGTAATTATACCCTGACATACTCTTATTGATCACATTATTGATCCATGTCCTCCTGGAATAGACTTGCAGACACCAGCGAACAGACTCAGTTTGTGCAGGAGGATAAAGAACAAAAACAGATTTGAGACAAGCTCTGGGCATCCCAGAATGCACTGTGCGTGCAGTATGGGTATCTTTAAAAAAAATAAGAAAGCACTGGGATGAAATTAGAAACAATGCCTCCCTTCAGCCTGTGATCCAACAGCTCTGTGTGCAGTGTTTGGCTCCAGGCTGAACTACTTTGAAGCACTATATCTGCTCTGCTGACTTAGGTAGTTCACACACTGAAATGCTGACTACTGAACCGTCCCCAGCTTTTCATATCTGATGTGATGATGTGGAAAATTTAGCACAACGCTGAATGTAGCACCAGCGTAATATACTCACTCCATTTAACATCACTGACCCTCAAGGGTTAGGCATATAACATGGCCTATTTGCTGAATGAAAGTTCATTTCTGTTTCGGCTGTAAGTGACACATCATTTTTTTTTTTTTACAACCAACCTAACCTCCAGCCAATTGTAACATATTCATATATCTTGTTTCTTGATTATTTTACTCTCCTGTAGGCTAAATTCAGAATTGTAAAGCTTGTTTTGCCCGCTTTCTTAAGTGGTCAGATTCATTCCACTTATAGCAATTAGCTGATAAAATAGGTATCCAGTTTCCAGGTTATAAACTCCATCTATTTTTTACTTTTGTGTTCGTTTTGGCAAAGGGGCAGTGGGATGCAATTTATGGAAGGACAATTATTTTCAGTAATCTCCAAAAAATCGTGATTAATATATTAATTATAAGTGAAATAGTGAACATTTCCTATTAGAATGTCAAGATGGCTTTTTCAATGTATTATTATTTTCATCCCAAACCCCACTCTTGTCAAATCAAAGTCAGTTATGATAAAGAAAAGCAGGACATTTTCACAATTTAGAAGCTGAAAGCAGATAACATTATTTTTTTGTGGTCAACAATGACTATTAATCCTGTATTGATTCTCTTATTTACAAATTGACTAATGGTTTCAGGCCTACCAGTACAGTATCTACAACCCACAGTGAGAAAATATACTATAATCCTGTGTCTCACTGTAGCGGTCACGTACTCACATCCTATATCACTGCATCGAGTGAAGCTGTCACCACTTTAATTTTTATTACACAGTACTGTTGGTGTCATAGAGATAGTTTATATTGTAGCTAGTAAAATGGAATTGCTTTTTGTGAGAACTTTAACAGTGTATCGCCATTTGGGTTCTATTAAAATAATTCCCTTTACACAACCTTTGCAAAGTTATGTTTTGCTTTCATTTATGAAATATCGCCACTGTAAAACAGGTCCCTCCAGATCTTCCAAGATATACAGTCAAGCAGCTTCTAGCTTATTTAACTTCAGCTCTCTGTACAGTAACAATATGGGCTGTAAAGCTCTCAGGACTAATTTGTGGGTTGTGCTGTGTGTTGCAGGCTGTATGTGATTCCCAAATCCAGGCTTCAGGGCGAGAGTGTCCTCAGCCCTCTCCAGTGGTGCAGGCAGGTCCTGGACCACCTGGGGCCCGAGGTGCAGCTGGCTAAGATGACCCTCCTTCACAGACTGGACCAAGGTACACACTGTGTATTTATCACTCAGATTAACGGCTTGATCTGCGGGCAACATGTGGACATCTGTTTCTCTGGCTGCTGACATGTGATCATAATCTGCGACGTGCTCGCAAAATGTCTCCACATACACCAGCAGCAGTTTCTGAGCCATGGGAGCGTTTTCTCAGCACGCAGCTCCGTGGTTTCTCACCATTTGAACATTTGACTCACTCTCTTTGAATTTATGGGTTTTTAAGCACCTCAGCTTTCTTCCCACATAGTGGTTATTTTCTGTGGTAGTTGGAAGGACTCCCATTTTTTCAGTGTCTCCAGAGAATAATTAAGACCAGTTTATGGGATTTACTACTCTGCCCATATAACATAAAAACAATTTAGTTTGGAGGAACTCATGCTGTGCTGGTGGACGGCATCACACCATGTTAAGTGGAAAATGTGGAGATCAGCGTAGAGGGGATTATAAAGCTGTAGTCAAAGTATCACCATTACAATGAAACGCTAACACGTGGTCACATCTTTCCATCCTCAACGTTTTCAAGGGATGTTGATATTAATTTTCAGAGCGTTAGATGGGAAGATTAATGCTGCTCTCATGCCTTTATGTTCCAAATGTAACCGGAGCCAGCAGCGGCTTAGCTTAGCATAAAGACTGGAAACGGCTAGCCTATTAGTAAACCACTGGAGAGGACACAAAGTCACCGATCCCAGGCCAACAAATAGTCTACATTAACCCTCTTAAAAGCCACAGATGTGTGTGTGAATTTTAAACTCTTCATTTTAAATTCAAATATAGTACTCAAAGCTAACAAGGGCTAAGTGGCTTGACAGATACAAATATTTTCATGCACACTTTTGACATGGCTTTGAGTGTTTTTCTTATTTTTGGTCATAATTAGGATATTCTATAACTTATATATAAAACATAGTAATACAGCAATTCAGCCCGCTTTATACATGATTATAACCATATCCAGGTTGCTTGTGGTTCATTCTGGTATTAACATTTCAACTCACCCACATCACAGAAATCTGACATTTCCTCCACCTCCACTGTATTTTGCTCCATGTAGTCACCAGCAATGAAGGATCAGGGTAAAGATACTGCATCACTTTTTATTTCAGCATGTAAACTATTGTGACATTGGCTAATGTGTTTTTTTGCTGATTTAAATCAACATAACCTAAGCTGCGCACCTGCGCTCACAAATTGAGTTTCTCAGCATATTGTGGTTAACTACAACCAGGATATGATGCTCATCTCCACCAACATATAAGCAGGATACAGTGCTACTCAAATATATTTGCTGCTTGACACAGTTTCTTTTGATGTAGTGCTTTTACCGTTGCTACACTCATGCACAGGGATATGGTTTCCATGGGAACCATGCTTACATTAACTGGGTTTTTGAAGCCGATTTGCTCCACATAGCCACTCCAACAGACTGCACAAGAGACTCTTGTACTGTTGCACACAGAACTATTTACTGTGTGTACGGGTATGTCTGTGTGTGCTTAGA